ATGCATACTGTAATGTCATGAAGACTAGAATTCTGAAATGAAAATAATATTGCTATTTTGTTGTTAACCAATTCTAATCATGTCATCTCCAAAATGATATATATGACTTCAACAAAGATGAACATATGACTCAACAGATATGCCAATATGACTTCTGCTTCATTTGTCTCATGGAAAAAGCCATTCCAACCACATAAAAGCCACTGAGCAGGAAACGGCTTAAAATAGCTAAAACTTTCTATAACTAATCCTCAAATAAATTGAAAACAAAATTTAATGAAGATATGCCACCTAAATAGCAAATAAAAATTAGAAATTATTATAAATTATTAAAAGATAAGAAAGAAAGAAGATGAGAAAGGGAGGAAGGAAGGAGAAAACATGAGAAAGAAGGGAAGGAAAAGACCAGGGGAGAGGGAAAGAAGAAAGAAAGGAAAGAGGGATGGAGAGAAAGGAGAAAAACTTAGTTGGAGGAAAAATTCTTTGACCTAGTCGTGAGTATGGGGGAGGCTAGGGGCAGTCAGCACTAAGCCATTCAAGAGCTCCTGCGAAAATACTCATTGGAATGGAAGATTATTCAATTCTTTGTTAAGCACACACAGGCGATTCTCCAGCCCTCTCTCTTTTCTGCTTAGCTTGGATGCCATGACGACTGTCACGTGACCTAGCAAACACAGCCCTCTCCAGGGTTGCACCTCAGCCTGAGCCAGTCTCTCTCCGAAGGGAGCAGGTTGGTGGTGGTGTCTGAGATGCGCAGTGCACCCAGACTGATGCTTCCGTGCAGAAGTGCCTGCCTGCAGAGCACATGGGAGAAAGCCTACCAGGATCACAGGAAAAAGGTAGGAAAGGCCGATGCCAGGCCCTGATAGCTCACGGTGAGGCCCCCAAAACAGTAACCATGAAATGCCAGGGCTCTCCCTGGAAACCAAAAGCTAATTTTCTTTTCAGAGATGGAATGGTTGAAATGACATTTCCTTAAAAAGTTGGTCATGTATGTTGCTATGCAATAAACATTCCATTAAACAGGTTATGTTTTTCATGTGTCATGTTTTAGGACCACCCTTTTCTCAATTAAGGCATATGATTATAAAGTACTTAATTTTTCATAAATTACTCAAAAGTATGTTAAGACAAAAAGATCTGAAGGACCCTTTCCCCTATGAAAACAGCATACTCCAGCAGGGACAAAAAGCCAACTTTCATCTCTGTGAAGAGATTCATTATAATTTCCATTTTATTTGATGCCAGTGTGGATGTCTTTTGAGAAGGTCACCATGTGGTTTGAAAATGGCCTACCATGGTCTTCTGCCTGTGAGATCTCAACGGAGCCATCCAGCTGCTTAGTGCTTGGCTGGTCATGCTTCTACATCTGTGTTCATCCAGGCTGAGAAATGCTCTAAGGGGATATTCTGGAAAAGGCTGTTGCTCTCTGATCCTCTGGAACGATCCCTCTGAAGTGATCCCCCTAGGCAGCAGACCAAGGTTTTGCAGGATGACCAGACCCAGGCGAGCTTATCAATTCCTTGAAGGTTCTGCCTGTCTGGCTTAAGATGTGACACGGTGGCCTCAGAGAGGCTCAGGTGGCATCTGCTGCAAGGCTGGCCCGGTGCCTACATGCACAACTGGGCCCTGAACCCACTGACCTCTTGAGAGTCCCAGTGAGTACTCTTTGGCCAGCTGTTCCAGGGTTCATCTCACTTCCTTTTAGGGAGGCCTCTGGTCTCCTACAGTCTTGTCTGTGCCCTCTCTAAGAAGCACACCTCCTCATCACTCTGTAGTCCCTTGTTCTGCCGTCTCCTGTCTCTTCATGATTGATGTAACACCACTCAGCCTGTGAGGGTGGTGGCTATTTCCTGTCACCAAGATATTCTCAGCACCTAGAGCACACAGCATGCTCTTAGTAAATAGTTGTTGCTAGGGGAAGACTAAAAAGAGTACGCATGATAGTAACAAGTATAAATCAATTAGCACCGCCTCTTTGAATTGTCCCTGATAAGGGGTAGATGGTCAATAAGCACTCCAAGTTTAAGGAAGATTCAAAACAGTCACTGTAGAAAGTGAAGAGATGATGGAATCAGTGTACTGACAGTGGGCACGGGCCCCAGGTGTGGTTGGGGAGCCTAATTCACACAGCACCGATGCATGCAGTTGTGCGACGTCCCAGAAACACCTGGTTGCTGGGTCTAACAATGGAGTGCTGGCACACCCCAATCTGGCTTGTGGCCAGCAGCAGGGCCTGGGGCCAGGAAACCAATGATTCTGGCACAAGGTGTTAAAAGGAGGGCCACAGATCTTACCTGGAAAGGGATGAAGTAAAGACAGAGAGCCAGTCAGGAGAGATGCTGGGAGCCACATAAGGTCAAGGAGTCACTCTTGGGCAGTCAACTAAGAAACTGAAAAGAAAGGGACTGAAAGATGAGGAATGGGACAACTGAAGCACAGCTTCCCAAAGGGCCGGTTCCATGTGAGCACGATGCCTGGAGTCCTGACACAGCTGTCTCCCTGGTGCAGAACTCACTTAGGGGAAGACAAAACTGTGGTCCGGATGCTAAAGGCTCCAGTGAATGAGAAACATGGGCTTGCAGCAGAAAGAAGGGCGAGGAGGAGCAAGGGCTTCGGGTGTGGGAGCCACCCTGCTCTCCTGGAAGCAGCAGTAAAGAAGCAGCAAGACTCCCCTGCCACTCCAAACCTCACCTGTTCGCATTAAAACTTGGCTTAGAAGAAATTTCTTTCATATGAACAGTAGGGGAAATTCGGGTCTTAAGAGTAAGTTTGTTTCTTATTGCTTGGCTGGGAACCCTGGGAATATAAGAAACATTGACACAGGAGAGGGGAGAAAACAGACTTGAAGGAGACTGTTGTGTCCGAAGTCATCTCTAGAATCCAGCACGTCATCCTCAGCCTGGCATCTCAACAGGGCCTTCTACCTTACACTTGAACACATATTTATGCTGAAATAAAATCAAAATAACCTTATTAAAATACAAATTGTTATTGATATTTCTCTAACCTAATAGAACATAAGTGTCTCATCCTTAAGCCAGTATCTTAATAGAGAAGCATTAAAAGTGTTCCTTATAAAGTAAGAAATAAGACAAGGATACCTACAATCTCTTAAATGCTTTTAAATTGTGTTGGAGGTATTAGCCAATGCAAGTAGACAAAATAAATCCATTAGGCAAGAAAATTGATATTTTTTCCTACTTGGGGATGAAATGATTAAATTAACTGATTAACCCAAAAGAATTAGTGGGAAAAAATATATAAATTGGGCAAAATAATTACAACTCATATCACAGACAAAGCGTTAATATCCTTATATAAAGAACTTCTAAAAAGAAAAAGAAAAATATAAATAAGCCCACATGAAAATAGGCAAGTGGTATGAACAGAAGTTCACATAAAAAGAATTGCAAATAGCTCTTAACCTATAAAACGATTATCAACTTCACTTATAACAGAGAAATGCAAATTAACCTTGCACTCTAATACCATTTCTCAACTATCAGATTGGCAAATATCTCCAAACTTGTTGGCAGGGCTCTGGTGGGCAAAAGGGCACAGCCCTGTGCCTGTGTTCAGGGGCAGGGGGTGGTTTAGCAATGTTTAACAGAATGATACACGCTTTTTTCCTTTACCCAGAAATCCCATTTCTAAGTATCCAATCCAGATGCACATTGGCAAAGAAACAAACAAACAAAAAATTGCAAAAGATTCTAATTGCAGCATTATTTGTAATAGCAAAAGTGGAACTAACCAAAATGACCATCAAAAGTGAGCTGGGTGAATAAATTAGGATGCTTTCACACAGCAAAGTACTATGCAGCTATAAAAATGAATGAGAAACATCTGTATGTATTACTATAAAGTTATCTCAAGACTGTATTTTGAAATGAAAAAAAAACAATGGGGTGAAAATGTGTAAAATGTGATGCTTACCTAAAAAAGAGGTGGTAAAAAAGTATATATTTATACGTACACATGCATAGATATATTTACACATATACACATATTATATATCTTTATATTTTCAGAAATGAAAGGAGTAACTGTAAAGTTAGATTTGTCAATAAGGAATAGGGCAAAAATGACAGGTATGGGGCTTAGGCCACTTTGAAAAAGTTTCACAGATTTGACTTCGGAGCCATGTAAACATTTCTGCACATTATAAAACAAAATAAAATTTTAAAAGCATTCCAAAGTGAGTGTGTTACTCAAACCTTTTCATCATCTAGCCCTTTCCCCATCTCCTGGCTCTCCCGACACGTGCGCTGTTGCATGAGCACACACTCCGTGGGTCTGATTCCTAGAATGCATGATGCTCACGCTAGCATTTTAGACAGACTCAGCTGGTGGAGCTTCCCACTGCTGTAGCTTTCAGATTACCAGCTAATAGGTCCCACTAGTTAGTGAAATCTATAAGGAAGTATCTATATAGAATCTGGGGGGGGATTCCTTTTTATTGCAAATGGTAAAAGTCCTCGTGCATGTAGTCCATCACATTTTAAAATAAAAATTTTTCCTCATTTGTACATTTTTTCTGACAGGTTACTCTGCAGGGATCATTTTGCATTAATCAATGTTTAAGGTGCTCATCCTGAAAATACTGCTGGAGGCTCAGAGATTAGAATGAGGTGGATACAGGGACATGATTCACTGCCTTAAAGGCCTTTGGCAGGACAGTGCAGGACAGAAATGTCAGCTGGGGGTATGGTTAATGAATCCTCACTCTGTACCTATTTAATTCTCCACTTGAATATGACATTATAGGCTCATTTTTGAGGGCAGCCTGGTTCTTTCAGGGGATAGTCGGATTCTGAATCAAGTCCTGAGCCTCATTCAGAACTTTCTGCCACAGGCTGACCTGGAAGCTTTGGTGGCAAGAATAATGATCTATACACATCCCTAGTGCCAGCAACCCAGAAACTGCGCAATCTAAGTCCACATTAATGATTTACTACAAGTGTGCCTGGGGTCACACCACTCCTTCTGTGCCGCAGGTCCAGGATGCCCAGCCACTCGTGGACACCCGTGCCCCACTGTCTCTCAGCCACCACCACCTGAACCTCAAGAAGCTCAAGGTGTGTTTCAGTTTTACCTCTCAGCTACCGTCATAGTTAACTGGAAAATGTTGGCTTTAAGACCCAAGAAAATGGAAAAGGCAGGCTCAGTGAGAAATAAACAAGTTATTATCAAAGTAAAATGCCATTTAGGCAACCAATTAACTTTGTCACTGCTCCAAATGGAGCTGCTGGGTAATTGCACCAGAGATCTTTCTCTTGTCTTCCTGTTGATCCATCGTGTCTTGAGGAAAAGAGGGAGAGGGAGGAGAGGAAATTCACAGTGGTAATTTCTTTAATGCAGTTCTATAGCAATTGATTAATCGGTATCATTTATTTATATCAGGCCATTTCATGGCCATCTCAGAATATTTATTTCTTGAAGCTTAAACCATCTAATGAAAATAAGAATCACACGATTATGCTAACAGTAATGTCTCCAAAGGCAAAATGCTGTGGGGGTTTTTTGTGTGCCTAGTAAGTAATAATAGCCTAAGTGAGCAGAACAAAAACTAAGTAACCAGTTCTGAGCCAATCAGAGTATCAATCAATTTAAAAACCTAAAGCCGGAAAATTATTGTTTCCTCTTGGCTTAAATCTTTTTTTCTTCTGAACAGTATAAAATATCTTTCTTAAAATGCAGTGACTTCCTCATTATCGTCACTGTCACAGTCAGAGTTTTAGAGGATGATCTAATTTTACAAAGAATCATGTCATCCTTGCTGTTATTTTCACTCCAGCTTAGGAGATTTGGCTCCATCCTAATGTCTTCCAATTCATAGACAAAGGAGTCCACGCACATCGCACTCATTGCTAAAGCTCACCACAGCTGCATTTGCTGATATCTGGGGAAGCAAGGAAAAACCCACAGGGCACTCGAGGCAAAGTGTGGGGTGGAAAGATTCCTCTGAAGAAATCAGTGCACAGTAGAGCACAGATGCAGCGGGTGCTTCTAAAGGTTCCTTGTGTGTCTCTCCACAGCTGGAGGAGGAAAGGCTTTCTGTCATAGACAGGGACAATCGCCTGCTGCTGCAGAAGCTATCCTGCATCATGAGGACCAGGGGACAGACTGACAGTAGAAACAACTACACACACAGGAGGTAACAGGGGTGCCAGCACCAAACTTGGAGGGACACTGAGCGCTTGGCTCCTGGGCCTGAGCAGGGGCATTGCCCATGAGCCAGAGTGAAGCATTTCTGTCCTCTCTCAAGACAGCCATATGCCAGGGAATTGCATTTTTCTCTGTGGTCCATGAATTAAAGTTTTACCTGAGACTCGGCTTCACTCTGGAGGGTTTGGGGCAGGTGGAGTTGGCCTGGGTGTCAGGAACATCCTGGGCTTCCTGGCTGCACTCACTGTCTAATCACAGTCATTAAAACCTGGAGTTATGGTTCAACCTCCATTTTCCTGGGACAGCTTACATTAAACCTAGCATCGCTTTCTGCTTTAAAGACAGATATTTAACCTGATTATAAAATCGTTTTTCAGTGTTGCTTACCTTAAAGCTGCAATGAAGGGGCCTAGGATAACAGTTAATCCAAAGTGTCACTTGGAGAGAAGCTTACCATCATCCCCACTCCCAGCTCCAGAGCTCCGGGGCAGTTTTACCCGCAAGGACAGGCAGACCATAAAACAGACTGCTGCTGATCTCTCCTCAAGAGGAACTGACTTCATTTTCATCAGAGGGTGGGGAAGTCCAAGTCTCACTGGACGTGAAATAAAAGGCATCCAAATTGGGAGGAAAGAAGTTAAGCAGTCTCTACTCACAGATGATATGATCTTGCATATGAAAAATCCTAAGGAAACTCTAAAAAAAAGCTATTTGTACTAATACACAAGTTCAACAATGCAGCAAGACACAAGATCAATATACGAAAGTTAACTAATTGTATTTTCATATATTTGCAATGAACAATCTGAAAATGAAATTATTAAAAGTAATTCTCTTCACAAAAATATCAAAGTGCCCATCGGTAGATGGATAGATGAAAAAACTGTGGTACATTTACACAATGGAGTACTACACAGCAGAAAGAAAGAAGGAACTCCTACCTTTTGTGACAGCATCGTTGGAACTGGAGACTATTATGCTAAGTGAAACAAGCCAGTCCATGAAAGACAAATACCATGTGATCTCATTTATAAGAGGAATCTAATGAACAAAGTTAGTTAATGACCGAAACAAAACTTAGAGACACGGAAACATGGAACAGACCGGCAGCTGCCAAAGGGGAGGCAGGGGAGGGTAATGGTGGGAATAAGGGGAAGGGACTAGTTAAAGAGTATGTATGAATGGCTTGTGGACATGGACAACAGGGTGGGCATGGGGGCGGGCTGGGCGAAGGGGGGCCAAGTGGGGAAAGATGAGCAACGGTAATAGAATAAACAAGAATGATTAAAAAATAAAAAAGGAACAAATTATCAAAAGGAATAAAATACTTGTGAATAAGTTTAACAAAGTGAATGCAAAACATTCTGAAAACTACAAAACACTGTTGAAATAATTTAAAGAAGACCTAAATAAATGGGAAAAAAATCCAATGTTCATGGTTTAGAAGACTTTCTGTTAAGATACCAATATTCCCCAAACTGATCTACAGATTCAGTGCAACACCTATCAGAATCCCAGCTATATCTTTGTAGAAATTGACAAGCTGGTTCTAATGATATGGAATTGAAAGAGACACCAAGTAATCAAAACAATCCTGAAAATTAAGAAGAATAAAGAAGGATGACTCATATGTCCTGATTTCAAAACTTATTACAAAGCAATGGTAATCAAAACAATGTGGTGCTTGCATAAGGGCAGATATTTAGGTCAATTGAATAGAATTAAGTGCAGAAATAAGCCCATTTGTCTATAGTCCATTTATTTTCAACAAAGGTGCCATGACCACTCAGTAGGGTAAAGAATAACATTCTCAACAAATGGGGCTGAGACAACTCTATATTCACATGTAAAAGAGTAAAGTTGGACTCTTACCTCCTACCATATGCATGAATTAACTCAAAATAGATCAAAGACCTACATGTAAAAGGTGAAACTATAAAACTTTTAGAAAAAAACATAGAGGTTAATCTTCCTGACCTCATATTTGGCAATAATATTAGATATGACACCAAAAGCATGAACAACAAAAGAGAAGATATTTAAACTTAATCAAAATTTAAAACTTTTGTTCTTCAGAGAACACTATCAAGAAAGTGAAAAGACAACTCACAAAATGGAAGAAAATATTTGCAAATCATGTGTCTGATAAAAGAATTGTATCTAGAATATATGAAGAACTGTTACAGGCTATGATAAAAAGATAAATACCCCACTTTTAAAAACTGGTAAAGTGCTCTGGCTGATGTGGTCCAGTGGACTGAGGGCTGGCCTGTGAACTCTAAAGTTGCTGGTTCGATTCCCAGTCAGGGCACATGCCTGGGTTGTGGGCCAGGTCCCTGGCTGCAGCTGTGCAAGAGACAGCAGACTGATGTTTCTCTTACACCATGATGTTTCTCTCCCTCTCTGTTTCTCTCCCTTATCCTCTCTCTAAAAATAAATAAATAAAATCTTTTTAAAAATGGGTAAAGGATATCAATAGATATTTCCTCAAGGAAGATATACAGAAGACCAATAAGCGCATGCAAAAATGCTCAATATCATTAGTCATCAGGAAAATGCAAGTCAAAACCACAATGTGATACCAATTTACACCCATTGGGTTGGCTAGAATCAAAAAGGCAGATAATAGCAAGTGTTGGTTAAGATGTGGAGAAATCAAAACCCTCGTCTATTGGTGGTGGGAATATAAAATGGTACAGTCACTTTGGAAAGCAGTCTAGAAGTTCTTCAAATGATTAAACATAGAGTTGCCATATGATTCAGCAATTCCACTCCTAGTTACATACACAAGAGAAATGAAAACATGGTCACAAGTACATAAATGTTTATAGTATGAAGGGCTACTGGGTTAATAGTTAAAGGGTACAGGGCTTCTTTTTGAGGGTGATGAAAATGTTCTCATTGTGCTGATGGTTGCACCTATCCAAGACACTTGTATGAGATCAGGAAAGAGTTTTCATCTTAAAAGAACAGGTCTTAAAAGGGTAATTAAGGTTCCCTGCTGGGAAGATTTTGGAGTAGGAAGCACCGGCAATATCTGTCTTTCCACTTAGACTACAATTGACAGCAGACTCTGTATGAAGTAACTATTATGGAACTCTGGAGTCTGTTAAGATTTGGATGGCAAATTCTGGTTAATTTCAGTCAATTTCCGCTCTTAGCAAAGTAACAAATACCCACCCCCTACTTCCAGCCTTGGGACAAGCAGCTGTGCACCTGATCCTAGAGCAGCTTGTGGGAGCCAAAGCAGAGAAAAAAGGACCAATTTCCAAATATCAGGTCAGTTCTGCGATCATGGATTGCTGTTTCTAATCCTCAACATGCCGGTGAAAAGGTGGCAGCCCTTCTTGTTGTACCCACCCTCATTGCTGCAAGACCATTGTAACTCCAGCTGAAGTGACTTGACATCCAGGGAATTAAAAGGATTGGTGTCCTTTCCCTACCCTACCTTCATTTTTCTTTCTCCCCTTTTGAGAGTCAGATATTAAAGACTAGGATATTCAAGCAGAACTTCATCTGCATGGAAAATTAGAAAGTTACTGCGCATGACCAAGGAAAGGCTCAGAAAAGAAATAAGACATAAAGTTTATATGTCAGGTTGATCTTTGGCACAGAGACAGCTTACAGCAATCAAAAAAAAAAACAACAAAACAACAAAAAACCAAACCAACAACAAACAAACAAACCAGCAGACCTTAAGACGGGGGAGAATCTGGTTTCCAGAGTTACCGTATTATTAGATTCAAATGTCCAGTTTTCAACCCCAAATCACAAAGCATGCAAAGAAACAGGACAATAAGGCTCACTCAAAGGAACATCAACAAGAAAATGAATAAACATAAACTGTCCCTAAAAATGCCAGATTTACTAGACTAAGACTTTCAAACAACCCTCTTAAAGATGCTCAAAAACCGAAAGGAAGATGTGGAGAAAGTCAAGAAAATGATGTGTGAACAAAATGGAAGTTATCAATAAAGGCATGGAAATCCTAAATAGGAATGAAAAAGAAATTATGGAGCTGAAAGGTATAATGACGGAAATGAAAAAAATTTCACTAGAGGTATTCAAAGACAGATTTGAGTAGGCAGAAGATGACAGTGTCTTGATGACAGATCAATGCATATTATCAAATCTGAGGAACAGAATTAAAAAGGTTGAAAAAAAAGAGAGCAAAAACTAAGGGACCTATGGGACACCATAAAATGGACCAACGTACACACTGTGGGAGCCCTGGAAGGAGAAGAGAGAGAAGGAGCAGAGAGAATATTTGAAGAAACAATGTCTGAAAACCCCCCAAGGTTGATCCAAGAAGCATAATGAACTTCAAAAAACATAAACTCAAAGATACACATGCCAAGACACATTATAATCATGCTTTGCAAAGAAAAAGAATTTTGAAGGCAGCAAGAAAGAAACAAAATTATCACATATAGGAATCATCAGTAAGATAATGAGCAGATTTCTCATCAGAAACTTTGGAGGCTACAGGCAGTGGTCTGATACATTTAGAATGCTAATAGAAAAAAGCTGTCAACCAAGAATCCTGTATCTGGCAAACCTGTCCTTCAAAATGAGAGAAATTAAGATACTTCCGTGTGAACAAAAGTTGAGAAGGTTTATAACCATTAGAACTTCCATGCAGGAAATGTTCAAGGGAGCCCTGTAGGGCAAAATGAAAGGACATTATACAATACTTCAAGCCATATGGAGAAATAAAGATCTCAGTAAAGGTAAATACATGGGCAGATATCAAAGCTTGTATTATTGGAACTTTGGTTTGTAATTTCAAATCTTGTTTTCTGTATAATTTAGAGACTAACTCATTTAAAAGAATTATCATTTTATGTTTTGGGGCACATGAAGTATAAAGATATAATTTAGTGACACCAATAACCAAAAAAAAAAGAAGACAGCTGTAAAGGAACAGTTTTTGTATATGAATGAAGTTAAGTTGGTATAAATTCAGTTAAGAGTGTTATAACTTTAGGGTGTTAATTGAAATCCCCATGGCAAACACAAATCAAATAGCTATAGAATATACACAAAAGGAAATAAAGAACTTAAATGTCTCACTACAAAAAAAAAAAAATCCATTAAACACAAAAGCAGCCAGTAATACAGGAAATGAGGAACAAAAAACTATAGATCATATGAAAAATGTCAAAAAGTTCCTCCCTATCAGTAAATGCTGGTGCCCCTTCCCTACCCCTGCCTTCCCTCCAACACACTCTGATGCTGCAGATTTCTTCATACATCTGCATCTTTAGCTCTGTTGTTACCACAAACATCAGCTAAACAGGTGATTTCACAATGACTCAAATCCACATGAAGCCATGTGCTCAAGTTCCAGCTCCTCCACTAATTCATTCTGCAACTTTGGGCAAGTTTTAACGTCATTAAGGCTAGTAATAACCTCTAAGGATTAAATGAGATAATTCTATTTCCTAGATTCTAAGATATACCCCCTTCTAAAACATGCACGCGCACGAGCGCACACATGCACTTTAATGGCTCTGAAGTGGAAATGCATCCTACCACGCATGGTGTGGTGTGGTTTTGCTGGCAGCAATTTTTCTTTCTTGGTGGTATATCAAACAATGGATGGCAATCTGTTATCAATGAAGGAGAGAATGTATAAAGTATTTAGAACGGTGCTCAATAAATGTTCTGATGGTGGATGATGCTCCATTGTTATTCCCTATTTCAGCAACTCTCCCAATATTCACCCAGTCACTTGACCCTAAAACCTGTGCTTCATTTTTCTCTCCTTGTTCCTTTGAGCTCCCACAGCTGATGGAGAGACAGCTGTTCTCGGATATTCCTCTCTCACAGTTCCCTTCCTCATTTGAATGCAGCCACCTACCTCAGGCTTTCGTCACCTCTCACCTGGATCACTGCAGAGGACTCCTAATCGATACCCCATCCAGCCTCATGCTCTCCGATCCTTTCTCCACATTGATCAAAAATACACATTTGAATGTGGTTTAAAGCCATTCGATGACTCCTCATTGCCTTCAAGATAAGTCAGAACTCCCTGAGCTGCACACAGGCCTCTGTCGACCTCCCACTGCATGCTTCCCAGATGTGCCATGCCATCAGGGATGTCCTTCCTCTCCTTGCTTGCCTGGTGACATCCACTAATCTTTCAAGCCTCTGTCGCAGCATTACTTCCCCTGATTGCCACATCTAACTGCCCTCAGGAAGCCCTGAGTATTACCAACTCTATGTCCCCACTTGCATCTACAACACTGCATCACATTTTCTCCTCTACATGCCATCTTCTCTAATTGGGCCATAAGGTCCCTGAGTTCAGGGCTGTGTTCACCTCTGAGGCCCAGCACCCCCAATTGGGGCACCTGGAGACGCATGGGCTACTAATTGTGAAACAAGTGAACGAGAGCAAACACTGCCTCTCTGGGAGCCCTTCTTGTCCTGCTGGCACTCAGGCGCTTTCTCTTGAATGCAGAACGGGAACTCTGTCACTGGCTTTAACTTTCTCAGTACTTCAAGAAATATCTATGGTGTTTTTGTTTTGTTTTTTAGTCTAAACAGGGGGAAACGAGAACAGGAACTTCGCAGAATTCAAAGGAAAAGTAATGTGCCGCAAAGAGAAAACAAAATCATTCCGGGAAGGATCACAGACTCAGAACCATTTTATAGAACGCAAAGGTGGCAGGAAGACTCATGCCAAAGGTGGGCAAGGACTGAGAAGTACCAGCATGCCCTTGCAAAGTATCCTGGGAGTTGGCAGACAAGCCAAGGGAAAAAGTACCTGTGGTTTCTTTTTCATTTTAAATCCATAGCTATCTCAAATTTCCATTTACTTTCTCAGATTTATCAAACATAAGGGCTCACTGATTCTTAGCTATTTTAGGGTATTCTATCATCAACAAACATATGCCAAATGGTCATACCCTAATAATAGAAGACACAGAACAATGACTCAACTGATAAATTCATCCACATACACATAAAAAACCACCAAAAAAAAAAAAAAAAAAACCTATGAGGAGATAAAATGAGCTCAGTTGATTGATTATAGGTTGTGGGAGAAAGATTTGGTGAAAAATAATAACTTAGCAGGATATTATGCATAAAACCTCATTGGGAAATCATGTGACAATTCTGAATTAGCTGCCACACTGCATCCAGAAAAGCAAAGAAACTCAGTGATTGAAAGTTTGCCAGATAATTTAAACTCTAAACTCTAAACTCTCCTTCTTCAACTTAACCTCTTGGCTAGCACAACCATAATCCTGAATGAAGAAAAATGAAATTTGGTCATTAATTATTCTGCTTATGAATGTCCCAGTAAATTAACTGAAAGAGTTGTAAAATCTTCACTCACTCTCTTTACCTGAATATATAGCCATTATGTGGTGGAACATTTTGACACACTGCTTTCCCTCAAAATCTAGTCCATCAGAGAGAAAAATGCATGATAGCAAAGTTTAAATAAACACTCCTGTCCCCAAGACCTACCTCCCTGAGCATACTCTGGGACGCATCCCCACAGGCTCCCATCCTGTGCTCCTCCTCTCCCAAAGGGTCCTGCTCCTTGAGGTCCTTGATGACCCCAAAGGCACTGGAGTTGACGTTGGCTCTACTAGCCCTCTTTCCCTTACCTTGTAGGCACATTAAAAGTCCCCAGCCTTCCTGGCTGCTTGCCTTGGACATTTCTTACAAAATCTTGAGGCACGGAGAAAACTAATATCTTTTGCAAAGATGCTTAACTAACAAGCAATTACTAATTACAAAGGCATTTGGAAAATTTAGTTTGTTTTGCAATTTACATTTAAAATGAACATTTTGTTTCAAATCTTTATTTTTAATTATAAAACTAATATTTATTGTAAAAAATAAAATATCAAACAGTACAGAATGTCTAAGTAAAAGGTAGGGCTTCTCTTGACCTGTAAGTAACCACTATTAACAACTTGTTTATGAACACTGACTTCATTATTATTTATTTGATTAGACAAAAAAGGAATCATTATATGTAGTTTTCTGTAAATTGCTTCTTTCATTCAATAACACAGCAATTTTCAACCTTTTTTCATATCATAGCACTCCTAATTACTAAAATTCTGCAGCACACCAAAAAATATATTTGTTGCCAATCTGACAAAAACAAAGACGTATAATTTTGACAGCAAACAGCTGTTGTGTTGGCTGTTGTAGGTTGTTTGTTTTTTTTTTGACAATCTAAGGGAAAAGAGGTCAATGCCCCTGACTAAATAACCAGGTACTGAATGTTTTAAGAATTCTTGCAGCACACCAGCGTGCCTCTTGCTGCACACCTGTTGAAAATGGCTGCAATAACATATCCTAGAAATAGTTTCATGTCAGTACAAAAAGATCTTCTCCATTCTTTTTGAGATGTTAGAAATTATTTTTGTACAGATGTGCCCTAACTTAAATTATTTCCCTAACTATGGAAATTTACATTGTTTCCAGTTTTTCACTATTCCAATGAAACTATGACAATCATCCTACCTTCATGTGTATCTTTACTCTATGTTACAGGAGAAACTCCCAGAAACTCAGTTCTTCTCACCGATGCAGTAAAGAATTACAGATCAGCAAGTCCATCAGTGTGCAAGCTGGGTTGATTGGTGATGGGTTCTCAGGGAAGAGAATGGGCCTTGCTGGGGTGGGGGCGAACAGCAAGAGCAAGGGTAGCAAGGGCAAGAGAGGGCAAGGTCCTTTGTTCTGAGGACTTAGGTAGTTGGCAGGACGGGGATGAAGAAGTTACATATTGATTGACAGGTAAAGGTGGTGCCAGCCTTGGTGAGGGGCATGAGTACCCAAAATGTGTTAATGGGCTTCCCCCTTTGGGGGCTATGGGCCCTTTTTGGCCTTTCAGGCCTTGGAATGAAAGCAGTTTGAAAAGCTTTCTCTCCCAGATAGCAGAGAAGATTCATAGAATTTCAAGCAGTGCCCTCCTCCTGTGTTAGCATGTTGTTTTCTATGATGTTGGAACACTTGGCAAGATTATTGGACTAGGCTCAGGACTGCTGTCAGTGGGTGAGACATGCTCCCTCCTTCTCCTTGCCTTGGTTTGCTATTTAGCCTACCTAACAACAAAATATTTCTGTAATTTATATTCCTAGAAGTAAAACTGTTAAACTAAAAGGTAGGCACATTTAATTTTCTGATACTGCCAAACTGCTCTCCAAAAGCTCAAGCAATCTGCACGTCCATGTGCAGTGGCAACAAATTGTCTGCGTTCTTACAGTCTTCCCAACCCCGGGTATTGTACATATTTTAGAATTTCATCCCATCTGATTTCTTCTTCTATGGATTGTCTGTTCATACCCTTTGATCATTTTCCTACTGAACGTGTCTTTTGTTATTAGTAAGTAGTAACTATTTACCAGTAATGACTTTTTCTATTAACACTGTCATAAATGTTTTCCCCACATTATTACTTATCATTTCACCTATATTAGGTAGTCATATCTGTCACTATTTTTCTGTATGGCACTGGGTTCTTGTGCCATACACAGACAGGGCTCTCTCAAGCTAAGAGTGGAAAAACATTCTCCTAATGCTTTTACAGTTTTCTTGATTAACTTTAAATCTTTAATTAATATAGAATTAAATAAATGTGGAATTTTTATACATTGTGTCAGAGATCAAAATTCATTTTTTACAAATTCAGTGCAAGTTAAAGTTTGCATTATCAGAAACTTTTCATATTCTTCATACTTCATACAAACTGGTTTCCAGAGGTTTCCAGGGGCTCACCAGACCCCAGGAGGACACAGGGCATTTCCTGGGTCCCGACTGGCATAGAAGCAGGAATGGCCGCCTTGATTGCCAGGGAAGCTGTCTCCTCGAGAGAGTTCTCTGAGTCCTGGGGCCCTATTCCATTGGGATCTTGGTCTTATTTGTATGGCTACCTCTGTTGCCCTCCTTTGGTTTATATCTGTCTAATTTGGTTTTTGATATCATTTTCTTTTGAAGTATTTGTGTCACTTTATTTAAGGTTTGTGTCTTCTAAGCCGAACACTGGTTTTGCTTTTTGTTCTGATCTAAGAGGCTTTTATCCCCTCCATTTTATCGCTCATTTCTGATTTTTTTTTGTTTTCATTTCCTTAGTTTTTTCCCCATTTACATTTTCTTTAGTATATGTCAAAAAAAAAAAAAAAACAAAACCCAACAAACCCCACTTGGAATCTGTGCTTCAAATCTATCCTTCATTCATTTACTTTGACTCTCTTGAAACTCTCCTTTTACAAAACAGGAAACAGATAAGGCCCAAGAGATGTTAAGATAAAGCAAAACAAAGAAAGGGAAAACAGAAGCCTCTAGAAACTGGGTTTCCTGCAGCCAGCCCCGAGACTGCACTTTATTTGACGTGTCACCGGCCTTGCTGGGTGTCTTAGGCTCGACCCCTGTGATGCAGCTGAGGAATGGGGCCTTGACAAAGAGCAGTGGAGAAGCACTCCGCTCTGACAAAGGCCAGAGGCAGGCAGCCGGCGGGGCGGGGGCAGGCGTCCCAGTGCAGGCCTCCTGGTGAGATTATCACTGCTCTGCCTTTCCTTCCTCGTGAGAAGACAAGCATGGAAAGCATAAGGAAACAACTGCCAACTCACTGCCTCTGGATCCAAGTCTGAATTGTGATCTGAGTGTCCCAGATCCACAGGCAGCTCTGTCACGAGGGGCTGTCACACCCTATTTACAAGTTTCCGGGGCCTTCTGCTTCAGTGTGTCCCTGAGGGAGGAAGGTGGTGACAGGCACCAAGGCATGGGGGGCGGGCTAAGGAATCCTCCGTAGAAAACCCACTTCCCTGCCGTCAGGTCTGAGGGCTTTGGACTATAGCAGGGCTTGTTCTTTTCCTCCAGGAGTCTCCTGCATCCCAGCCTTGCAAACTTCAGGGACTCAGTCACCACTGAGTGGGGAGAGGGGAACAGGACGTTTTTGGTAGCGCTGTTCCCTTTAGAAAGAAAAACAAAATCAGCTATTTGAAAACTGCAGGTTTAGGGAGGAAAGAACTCGGTTTTACAGGATAAGAAAGTTAGAAAGTGGCCTAAAAAAATCCCCTTGACCGGCTATCTGAAGACCAGATGCCACCTCCCAGGTGTCTAGTTGGCTGGGTCTGGGACCTTTGCTGGTCTAGTACAGAGAGGGTCTACCAAAGTTACCTTAAAATTTCCAGAAAATATGCCTCTTTCATTGACTTGCCCTTCTTCCCTAGAGCCCAGATTCCTTCTCCCCTCCCCAAGAGGTATCTCCCATGGGAACCCTGTAAATGTCTTAATTTGCTGAAGGGCTTAATTTGCCAGCTCCCCTGAATGTCTCCTAGAAATCCTTTTCTTTTTCTTTCTAGTTTACATGTTTTTAAAAGAGTATTGTACATTTTATTATCATTTGTAAATTATGTGCTATGTAACCTTTATATGCATAAAATTTATAATAAACAAAGACAAGTGCAAACTTTTTTTCTCAAATAGCAGGTTGTTCAAGCTTTAACAGCACATTGCTAGTGATCATCCATGGCATGGTATAAAAATAAATATTGTGTTTTGCTTTTTAAAAAATTTTTATTGTTGACACTATACAGATGTCCTGCATTCCCTCCCTCCTTTGCCCACCTCCACTCAGCCCCTATGCCATGCTAGTTTAAATATTAACTTGAAAAATATGTTACATATTTTAAAGGAAGAATTTCAATTTTCTATCACCCTCACCCTTTTCAAATCATCCTAATTTACCCCTAATTCCAAAGTAAGAAATTACTTAATTTGGTAACTGTGTTTACCAAGGGAAGATGAGATTTCTACAAAATCATCCAATAAAATCCATTAGCCATCCTGGAATTTACTAGAGCCCTCAGTTAACTGGAAGTATGTATTACTCTAATCTAGTGACTTAACTCCAAATATCTCACATACATGAGAAGGAAACAAAAATAAAACACAAGTGATCTTGAGGAGCAACAGTTAAATGTTTACATGATCAATGCAGAGTGGCATGGTGGAGATGCAGGGGACCTGACGTTGACTCCAAGCTCACTCAGCCCCTTTGAAATCCTTTTCTAGTGTGTAAAGAAAGGATTCGAACCCCATCCCAGAACTCCTGTCAGGGTTAAATAAGTAGCATATTAAAAAAATGCTATAAAATTGCCTGGTATTTACTTGGCAAGCAATGAACTTCTTTTTTTCCTCCTTTACTGTATACATTGGCCACACAGTAAAAAACATGAATTAAAAAAACACTAACTCAAAAGGATATCTGCACCCCATGTTGACTGCAGCACTATGTACAACAGCCAAGACATGAAAACAACCTAGCTCTCCATTGAGGATAAATAGATAAAGAAATTATGATGTATATCATATACATAGTGGAATATTTTCAGCCATAAAAAGAATGAAGTCTTGCCATTTGAGACAATATGTATGGACCACGACGGCATTATGCTTAACAAAATAATTCAGACAGAGAAAGACAAATACAGTCACTTCTCTCATATATGTTAAACTTAAAGACAAACAAACAAACAAGCTCATAGATACAAAAAATATATTAGTGATTGCCAATAAAAGAGGGTGGGTGGGTGAAATAGGTGAAGAAGTTCAAAAAGTTAAAATAAAAATGTAAGGGCAGAGCCTTTAACATGTATGCAAATCCTAAATTCTATTTATCAAAATCATTTATTAAGAACATGTGGGCAAGTGGTATCTTAAGACATTTAGCTACCTCAAGGATTTAGTGTATATGGGGGTGTGTGTGTGTGTGTGTGTGTGTGTACTGAAGAATTGAGTGTGGAAATGAATGGAATAATGAAAAAGTAGAGATTGCTGTTAAAGTTATTTCAATTATTTTATGAGAGTACAGAACTAGGAATAAGGTGACATTTTTACATAGGTAGTTGAAATAAAAAATTTAATTTTTAAAATATTCCTGTATCATCAGTCAACAAATGCTCACTGAGAGCCTACCTAATATCAATTACTCAGCACAGCTCCCAGCAGGGATTTGTTGTTTTAGACTTATAGTTAGAGCTAAAGAGAACCCAATTGATTCTATTAAAAGGTTTTAACCATTTAAGATAATAGAAAAAAAACTTTAATGTGGCTAATTTTAAGCCACAGGAATTCATCACTGTGTCTATTAAAGTGGCTTTTCAATTTATCCCTTGAGTTATTTATAAGCTTTGGGAATATTTTGTGATTCTATTGACCAGACCTTGATGGGTTGTTTGCCCAATTATATCTTAACTATGTTGTGCAAATAAAAGAAACCTCTAAGAATTCAACTAGAATTTTAGATGAAACACTGATATGTGCATTGTAGCTCCACACACTACAGAAGGTCAGGGTAAGTGAACACTCTCCAGTGGAGGAGATGGTACTGAGCCTTAGGTTCCCCCTTTTCCAAGTCCAAATGATTCCACAGCAGAGAAAGAAACCCTGTTCTACCTCTTTCCCTGAGAAGGCTGCACAACCAGTTCCCACTACTCTAGGCTTTATGCACAGACGGTTCCCACAACAGCCTTTAGAGAGGAATGAGGGAAAATAAAAGAAAGAAACACTCTGGGGTTTGGACAGAATCCTGAAGGCCCTGTACATCCAACACCTATAGGCAGACAATGTTCAAAATGTAATAAGAGTAGTAAAACTGGTTTAGTGTAAAAGTACTTCGATGCATTTTAGAAAGATTTTCAACAACAAAATTGTAATAATAAGGGATTATCTGATTATTTA